TCGGGGTATGTGGTTTAATATTATTGGCATGTGTTGCCTAATTGACATACTCGGTATATTTATTAATATTGTTGGCATGTGTTGCCTAATTGTTATGCTCAGTATATTCATCAGTACTTTGAGAGGTGTTATCACTGTGTAGTTCGTTATAGTCTGTGTTGTCAGTACCGTGCACCATGTATAATAGCTGATTTCCCGGGTAGGGAAAGGCGACACTTGACCACCTAGTGTGAGTCTAAGTGATCACCGTCTATTCTGGTTGAGGTCATGTTATACATCGGATAGTTCCCTTAGGATGTATACAGATATAGTACTCATCCGATTCATAATGATTAATTTATTTGATTCTCTGATTTGAGTCATAGTAGAGAGGATTTGCTCGTGGGGTTGACCCACCATTGTTGTTATTTCAGGATACGGTCAGTACCCGTTCCAAGGTTGAGGTTAGCAGTGTGGGACCACCATCCGAACTCATCTACTCTTACGATCCAGTTCAGGGTAGAAGTTTTACGTATTACTTCAGCTTCAGTTTTTATTTACTTTTGACGTTGAACTCTCAGGTTTATATTTAGGGATCCTTGACATAGGATTTCCAAGTTGTAATGGAGTACTGTAGTTAAATAAAGGATGGATGGATGTTGTATTATTTAGTGTTCCTTTCCTGTCTCAATTCTTTTATTATCATCATTTTGTATTCCATGCTTGTATATTGCCAATTGTTTTGATATACCTCGTTTTTCGTGTATAAGCCTGATCAACTTATGCGTGGAAAATGTGGGGGTGTTACAAGTAGTGCTAGCAGGTTTTTAGTAATACACTCTGAAATAAATGAAATATCCAACAATACAATAATAGAATCTAGAGACGCCACATTTTTTGAAGACATCTTTCCTTTGAAATCAAGAATTCAAAATCAAGTGGTTGATAGACCATCAACTTCTTCATATTGTCCTTCGTCGATTACTTCCATTAGAGAAGACTCTGAACCTCAAAAACTAAGAAGAAGTAAAAGACCTAGATTAGAAAAGAATTTTGGAGATGACTTCCTAACATTATTAGTAGAGCGTGATCCTACTACTTATATAGAAGTTGTAACTTCTATAGATGCTCCATTTTGGAAAGAAGCTATCAATAGTGAGTTTGAATCAATAATTCAAAGCAATACTTGGGTTTTAATGGATTTACCTCCTGGAAATAAAGCTATAGGGTGCAAGTGGGTTTTTAAAAGGAAGTTGAAACCAGATGGAAGCATAGATAAATACAAGGCAAGGCTAGTAGCTAAAGATTCACACAAAAGAAAGGTTTAGATTACTTTGACACTTATTCACCTGTGTCTAGTATCATAACTATTAGAATTCTAGTAGCCTTAGCATCTATTCATAACCTTGTGATTCATTAAATGGATGTAAAAACTATTTTTTTGAATGGAGATTTAGATGAAGAAATTTACATGGAGCAACCTGAGGGATTTATAGTGAAAGGACAAGAACATAAAGTTTGTAAGTTAGCCAAATCCTTGTACGGTCTTAACAAGCTCCTAAACAATGGCATGAGAAGTTTGATAAAGTGATACTAGATTACGGGGTTAAGATAAACGAGTTCGACAAATGTGTTTACTATAAAGGAAATAATGAAGATTATGTCATACTATGTTTGTATGTGGATGATATCTTGATATTTAGGACAAATTTGAGTATAGTGAAGGATATTAAATCATATTTGTCTAGAAATTTCGATATGAAAGATTTAAGAGAAGCAAATGTGATATTGGGAATGAAATTAGAAAGATCATCAAAGGGTATCACTTTAGATAAATCGAGTACAATTGAAAAAATGTTGAGAAAGTTTAACTACTTTAATAGCAAGCTAGTATCGACTCCTTATAATCCTAATGTGCACCTAAAGAAAAATAATGGAGAACCTGTTTTTCAACTGAAGTACTCACAATTAATTGGATCGTTATTATATATTGCAAATAAAACTAGGCCAGATATTGCATATGCTGTTGGGAGACTTAGTAGATATACAGATAACCCTAGTAAAGATCATTGGGATGCATTAGAAAGGGTTTTTAAATATCTTAAGGGAACTATAGAGAAATTATTATGTTATCAAGGATTTCCTAATGTAGTTGAAGGATATAGTGATGCAAATTGGATAACTAATAATATAGACAGAAAGTCTACTAGTGGTTATGTATTTGTTCTAGGTGGAGCTGCAATATCTTGGAGTTCAAAGAAACAAACTTTAATATCTAGAAGTACCATGGAGTCCGAGCTCATTGCATTGGACACAACTTGTAGTGAAGCTGATTGGATTAAAAGCTTATTGTTGGATATACCAATAGTAGATAAGTCTTTACCAGCTATATCTATACATTGTGATTGTAAAGCTGTTATAGACATTGTAAAACAATCTCATACAAATAAAAAGATGAATAGACATATACAAGTCAGATATAAATCTGTAAGGAGTTTATTAAATAAAAATATTATTTCATTGGATTATGTTAAATCTAAAAAGAATATCGCTGATCAACTGACCAAAGGTCTATCTAGGAGTGCAATCCTAGACTTGTCAAGGGAGATGGGCTTAAGCCCATAAGGGAGTCACCTATGGAGGTAACCCAACCTTTATGATTGGAGATCCCATGAAGAAAGTTCAATGGGTAGAAACAATCCACATTACGTGATTCATCTTAGCACTATCTTGAGGAGACCCTCTTCTGCTCATCCCTATGGCATTAGTGCTTAATATTGTGACATTAGGAAGGGTATTGACCCTGAATGAGCCCGAGGCAATCATTTCCGCGAGGTACAGGTCACATATACCCTTGGAGGACTCACCTAAGTGAGAGTTGTTGTGAGGCCGCAACCGTAAGAATTGGGCTATTCTTTAGTAACTCTCATGAGAATCAAGATACGGGCGCATGGCCATTAATAGTGTTAACCCGCAAAACCAAGTCTATCATCAATACTATGTGTGTGATATGTTGAAGTTTGGTTAAAAAGGGTCTGAGTTCAAGACATAGTTCACTCTAGACCTTCAAATGGAAACTATTAACACTAAGTGTAGGTTCAAACCCGGAAGGTTTCCACAGTTTTTTATTTATTTATTTTAAGAGGTTCATAAATCCTGTGAGGGATTGTTAATATATTATAAAGTTAATATATTATAAATTAAGAGTTTCAGAACCTCTTTGAACGGTTCCTCTGGAATCCTTTTAGTTGAGATTTTTAAGATGGAGACTTTCAACGTTGTTACGATTATTTCTCAACGTTATGCATATTTTTCTCACACTATCGTTGGACTCTTAATCTATAAATAGGAGTCCAGCAATTCAGAAAATATAAGAACGTATCAAACTATTCTCTTGTTTTCTTTCTTCCTTACCTTTCATTATTGTAATACTTTCTTTTAGGCAACTGATACACGACTTGGTTATATACTTCCTGTCAACGTGCTGATAGAGGAGTTAGTGGCTGTGAGCGATTGGGGTTATATTTTGGAACTGCTATAGCCATCACCACCTGCATGTAAGGAGGAAATAACAGTTTTAGGACAGCGTGTCCAACACGCGTCTCACCATATCCCACGCCAGAGCTTTCTTTTACCTTTATATATAAATTTGTTTTTGTTGTATTATAAAGATTAATTATGCAGTTCACTCTTATTTGAATTTCTATTAATATATGTTATAATAGTGTTTGGGTTATTGAAGTGTTTGTATATTATTACTATTATATTATTAGTTCTTACGCAACACATATTCCTTTCTTGTAGCAAGTAGGAGAAAAGTAAGATGGAAAAATTAAAGTAGTTCTTCGATTTTATCATTACACTCATATTTTATGATTTTTTTTTTTTTTTTTTTTTAAAAAAAACTGTTTTTAAAAAACAAAACCAATCAACCTCATAGTTCCTAACTCATTTTTCTGTCTCCATTTCTTTTCACTTTTGGAGAGAAAAGAAAATTGTGGCTAAAGGTATTCATTTCCTTCCTATTTTATCTAGATAATGAACTTTCAAATGACTGATTCTTCTTACTTTCTCCAGCTACCTTTTTTTATTATTCCTCTGTTGTTGTTTGGATGTAAAATATTTATAATTTTTTTTTTTTTTTAATTTTTTGGTGATTAATTGTTCTTAAATATTTAAGAAAAAAATATATTAAAACGTAATAAAAATAACTTACCTTTCAAATTTAGGCAAATTATTTTACACGCTCCACCTGATGGACTAAACCTCAACCTCAACCTCAACCTCAACCTCTGACAAACACTAAAAATTAATAATAAGAAATATATTTTTACCTAAAAAAAATTAAATATTTTATGAGAAAAGTATTTTACTTTCGATCCTTCAAAATATGGTGTTAATTTTAAGTTGCTTGGGAACCATGCTTTGGTATTCATAAGCAATCAACTGATCACGTCAGAGGTTCCTCCTATATGTTTAGGCATCATGTTTTTCTTCTATTTTCTTCTTTCTCTCTCTCTCTTTCCCTTTTGCTTTCAAACAACCCACTATTATTATTATTATTATTATTATTATTCTTTCTCTCTCTTTTTGCCTTATGCTTTCAAACAACCCACTATTTTATTATTATCATTATTACCTTTTTCTCATTCCTTCTGCACTGTCTTCCTAAGAATTCATCATCTCTTACACAAAATAAAACTTTAAATTGAAGGAACCACAAAAATCACTGAAAGTAAAATCAATTCAATCACATATCCCATATTGCATAGCCGTTGAGTGCTCAGTTATGTGGGATATGACACAAAATTTTACATATCAATGATAAATATATGCATATTCTGTTAAACTTACGTCTGCAATTGACATTATTCTTATAATTTACAGTGAATGTGATACCTAGTCAAATATATTTGGCCTCACTGTTAATAATCCACATCAGTTGTTCAGTAAACAGAGTGAGGAACTGATCTGAAAGTATAAACATGGAATGCATATGTATGATTGTTCAGACCATAAAATAGTAAATTCATGCATTTTTCATTAATAATAAACTATAAAAGATTTTCATGACCAAACATGTTAAGTGTCTGTATAACTTATGGTATAGAAGACTCATTACAACAATTTGTGCTTTCAAAAAATCTTGATTCAGCAGTATGGTGCTCACATTGCATAATTCAAACCGGCGAGTGGGGTGTTTATCCCTCTCTCTCAATGGCGATCAACTCCACCGTCCAACTTGCATTCATTGAGGCCAAAAACTTCCCTATTTACCTCCTAAACTGGTTCGATAAAACCTGTAGCTTTTTATCATATTTCTATAGCATAATGCCTACTGTAACAGATTATTTCCAGGTCAAACCCTACAGAAAAAAAATAATAATAATAAATAATGGAACATCATTAGATAATAGTCATTTAGGCTTTTCATAAGCAATAGAGGACCCTATGAGAAGTAAGAGTGTGAGCAAAAAAGTTACAGTTAAGGTCTTTATGAGGATCTAAGAGACTAGACAATCTAGAAATATGTTGTGATTAGACAATCTATAAAAGCAAAGGTAAGACTGGTTCTTACTGAATCTTTATGCCATTTTTGTTCTTTAGGGCATCGGGGATGTTACCATCCAGGTTGTTGTTTTGTAGAAATCTGTCGAAGCAAAGCAAGTCATCCACCAAGTGAGTGATACTAGCATTTAAGCAATTGGATTACCTAAATTATGAGATAGCTTTTATCAGTAGCATACATTTCCTTAAGATCTGTAAGTTCTGCCAATGATGCAGGGATCTGTCCTTCGAATTGATTATTCTCCAAATGCCTTCCTCGGATTACCCAAAAAAAAAATACAAAAAAAAAAGGTGCCAAATCAAGGTATTGAACCAAAAAAAGGGGTAAGTTGAAGGAAACCGAATTAAGTTGTTACCGCAGAACGATAATCAGCCCAAATGGTATGATCTCTCCTCACCCAAGGGGAGGTTGAGTGTTCGAGTGCTGCTATGGGCAATATTGTGGGGGTGTGCATTTGCTTGAGCTTTTTTAAAAAAAATAAAAATCGGAACATTTGTGAGGGACTTACAAAGTTTGCAGGGCCTTCAATGATTTCATTTCTGGTATTGGACCTGAGAGTTTGTTACTTCCAAGCAAACTGATAAACAAATCATTAGAAATAACTGTGAGCAAAGCCCTCCAATCAATGGCAGCATAATCAACAGAGCAAACTACTTACAGATGGTTAAGTGCAGTTAAATCGTCTATGCTTTTAGACAGTGACCCAGACAGCCCCACACCGGTAAGATTCCTTATGTAACGGAGAGAAAAAATGCGACTCAATATTTTTAAAAAAAAAATGAAAAGGAAAAGAAAGAAAGAAATTAGACAGTTTGTGAGTTGTGTGGTTCTTGTAAAGTGCGAAACCCGACTTGGGTCCGAATTACCCTCTATGCATTTAGTGAATGCTTCACAGATAATAAACAGTGTTAATGGTGTTGGATTCTTCAGCAAATTTTAAACTACTTACAGAGAAGTGACTCGAAATCCTTGATCAGAGCATTTAACTCCAGTCCATGAATTCTCTTTAGGTAGGCACGGATCTCCTCTCCAATCGGAAGGTTTGTTGTCAAAGCTTTTTGCCAACTCTTCCAATGCCAACACTGCAAAATACCCAAAATAAAACAAGCTCAACAAGAAAATTTGATAACTTTGTAACGAGACTTTAATTCATAGATAGATGGAGATCAGAATGTACAAAACAGGCTACCATCTTTAGCATTAGTCACTCCACCAAGACGCAGAATCTGAAAGATCTCTCCACCATTGATCACAGGCCCAACAGGCATATCATTCTGGGGAGTCATGACAATCTCAAGCTGACCAGAGAGAGGCCACTGTGTCGCATACACAGTCACACCATTGGTTGTGACATTGACGTCATCGTAGAATTTCATGCCATTTATAGTGACACTGAAAACTCTCCAGCTCTCTGGACTTGGGTTGCGGTTCTCTTGGAAGTAAAGTGCAATGTAGTAGGTGCTGCTAGGGAGTAAAAATTGCGGCCACTTGACGTTGAGTGTTTTCCCTCTGCTTGTTGTGATTCCGTTTGCAAATAACTTCGTTGGTGGGATGTTCCAAAATGCTGTAGGTGTTATGTTGACTTTGCTGTCTACGACAGGATTATCGTCCATAAATGGTTGCCAGAACCGGTTAAATTTGTCATCTGGAGAACTAATTTATATGTTCACTACTCACCATCAGAAACTAATCAAGCTTCTTCAACATAGAAAAATAAGTTGTAAAGCTAGCCAAGAAATGAACCTTATCATTCTTTCATAAATTCACAATTCGATTCTATGACCCCTGCTTTTACACTATGTAAAGCAGTTCCTAAATTGATGCTAAGATATGATGTGTTATAGCTACTTCCTCATTAAATTTACTCTCATATAGTTCTGACTCAGTAAACTTTCTGTATTATATGAGCATTACATTTATTACGAAAATAGGAGAAAATATTTTTAAAAAATACTAAATAAATAAACCACTCTACATGACTAGCATGACAATGGTATATGGATATCTATTTGTTTCAAAGACAAAGGCACCCTTTTGGATTAAAATGAAGGGCACTGAAGGGTCTTAAATTACTAACAAATTAGAGGGTGATTGACTAGCACTATGAAACTATATGTCATGTAAAAGAACTGCAATGAATTTTAATAATTGGTCTAATTTAAGTATGAGTAAAAAAAAAAAAAAAAAAAAAAAAACTCTAAACATATCTATCTAGTGTTTTCTGATCATGTAATTAGTACAATAACAGACAATCTAAAGTTGCTTTCTATTTGCGGTTGTTATGTAAACTTAATTCATGCACATTTGTTATTTCCTCACACAGAACCAAATTCAAACAAGTAGAAGGCAACAAACATGGCCTGCAATCAAGTCAATCTTCATACCTAATTTGTTCCCCATTGTAGCCAAAGCTACTCCGAGCCACGTTAGTTAGCGCAAACTTGTTGAAATCGGTTGTATTATAGAGTGAAGCATCCAGATTCTGCAATTCAATAGATGATATAAAGGGGCTCGAATTCGTGTTCTTGTTCCTAGCAAGGCACACACTCAATGTCTTTGCATGAGCAGTGACCACAATCTCATAGAACGAGCTGAGCCCATTTGCATAGTCCTCTGTTGTATTCACAATACTCCATTTGGTGCCATCAATGATTTGATCAAACACCGGAGGCTCCTTCCCTCCATCAAAACCTCCATAGTAATACATAGTTTTAACCATATATTTAGCATCTTTGGGCACTTGGAATGAGTAACAGTATTTTGTAGCAGAAGTGTCTGGGAAAAATCTCACCGTGGCCAATAATGGGTGTACATCTTTTTGTTTAAGGGTCGTTTTGTTTCCGGTGTTTATGTATTCGTTGTCCGGGATGAATTTCAGATCACTCAGTTTTACCTCTTCCTCCGAGCCACAGTTAAGGAGGAAACCTGCATTAAAAGAAAATTGGTAAAAGTTTCGATGAATTTTTGTTACTAACCAGAATAGTTCAACTAAACATATATTCCCTCCGCATCAAAACGAGCGTCGCTTTTGAGAAATCGTCGTAGTTAGACACTCTTTTTAGACCGAGAAACGAGTCTCTCTTTTTAGACCGAGAGAGTACTATAACTAATTATTGTGTAAGAATCTTTATTAGATACAATTGATGACTGTTATTCAAAAATCGATTAAGGCGACAATAGTTGAATTAAACATATCTTACTGATTATTATGTAAGAATCTGTTTTGAATGCGATTTATGAGTGTCATTACAAAAATTCATAGGCGCGATAATAGTTGAACAAAACATTTATTATTGATTATTGTGTAAGAATCTTTGTTGAATACTGTTTATTGGTGTTTTTAAAAAATTAATTGATGTGACAATAGTTAAATTATTACTGGCATTAAAATAATCATGAGAGAGAGATGGAATGAAGGGTGTGTTTGCTATGTTACCTTTTGGTGGTGGTTGGTCAGCTGCATGGAGGAAGACAATGGGGATGCTAACCAGCCATAGGAGGAAGACGGAGGCGGACATTGCAGGGAAGGGAGGAGAGAGGGGATGGGTTGGGGGATCTAGAGAGAGAGAGAGGAGGAGAGAGAAGGGAATGAGAGAGGATTGTTGGACATGGGTCTGAGAGGGTGGACACGCCAAGGGTTGTGCATGAAGATAGAGAGGCTTATATTGACTTGGTCGCACTTGTTGAAGTGTGTAATATCATTCAAATAACAGTTATTTTAATCATGGAATGCATTAGTTGTATCCTTAATTTTGAGTCTTGTTATTTAAAATGGAAATCATTAGTTGTCTCCTTAGTCCTTAATTTGTACATTTGTAATTCTTATATAAAAAATTAATTCACAAGTGAAATAGATCATGTTTTATATTTTAAAATAGACTAATATGATTATAAGAACAAAATAAGTTTTATATGTTCTAAACTATCAAAGCAGCGCCTGTAGCTCAGTGGATAGAGCGTCTGTTTCCTAAGCAGAAAGTCGTAGGTTCGACCCCTACCTGGCGCGTTTAAATTATTTTTTATTTTTTATTTTTTCCCCACTTTACCTTTTTTGCTTTTTATTTATTTATTAATTTATTTTTGGGGTGAAAGGAGACAGTCAAAACCCTAGTTTCCTTTAAAAACCCTAGATTCCACTTCCATAAATTCTAATCTCTTTTGCGGCTATGAAGGTCTTCGAGATCGATGGAACCATTCTCTCTCTCGCCCTCTTCACAGACGTCACCAACTCCAAGTACTCTCTTTTATCTCCCTATGTATATGAAATTATATATATATATATATATATCTCTTGGTGCATGCGAGGTTTTGAGAGGTTTTAGAAGTGGTGACTTGACAAATTTCTATTACTATAGTCATTTCTATTGATATAGTCGTATGCATTTGTCAAATGCTATTAATTGGGAAAAATACCTAATTTTGAGGCATTAATTTATAGGTTAATAATTTGATGAATGTCACTTTGCAAACTGTAGAGATATAATTGTCTGCTGTGGTAAATACCCATTATATTTAATTACGGCTATTCAATAAGCTCCATTTGGGAATGGTTGGGAATCATCTCGGTTGTTAAATTGCAGTTATTATGAGAGTTTTCCCTTTTGAGTAACTGGGATTGGTATTAGCCCCGTTGAATGTCAGCGATAGAGAGATGAAATAATATGCACAGCGACTTCCTTGATTGATTAATAATACATTTCATTGGATGGAAATTATTTGCATGATCTGTTTAATAAGCTTTGAGGAAATTCTGCTTTCAACCTCATAAGAGTCAATTTCCATTGCTGCTGTTGTACGGTTCGGGATGTCAATTTGTTGTTATAAGTAGATTAGCTTGGGTTTTTGTTACCGACTGATGGTGGATTGCAAAATGTTCTAATAGATGAAAAGATGGCGTTTTCTTCTCTCCTTAGTCGTCGTCATCATCATCATCATCCTTGGTTTTTTTTACGTATGAATGGGGTTGGCCATTTCTTTTATCTTTAGTAAGCTGTAAAATTTGATTTAAAGTTTATTTTTTAAAAGTTGAGCTCATGAACTCCTTATATGCATTTTTGTGATTCTTTTTACTTCATTATTGTTATTGTGCTTATGGTACCATGGATCTTTCTTTCCTTGGAATTATAGATGTGCTTTACAGCAGCAACCTTAAAAGTTTTTAACCTTAATTTTTTTTAATTTTAAAATTTCTTTTGGAATTCTCTCTAAGGTTCTTATTTGATGTGTTGCAGTACATAGCTTGTTAAAGTGTTTGTTTGAAAACCTAATTAAGTGCTCAATCCTGAAATTCTTTTGTGGTATCTCTATAAGCGTCATTGATCATTTATAAGCTCTTATCAATTATAAATATACTTCCATTTAAACAGTCTAATTTTAAGTAATAAAGAGTTTACTCATCACTAAATGTTGGTTGTGTTTAAGTAAAATGGTTAATCTGAATCTACAAGTTTACTGTTAAATTTTCAGTTATTCAAATAAGTTGCTCCCAAAACTACTAATTCAGCACTACAGTTTTTCAGTATATAATTTTGAGTTCTGTTAAACCTCATTTGTGTCACTTCAGGTCTTTTAATGATTTTTTAATCACAATAAGCAGTTGATGGTGATTCTTCTTTAGTTCTGCTAGGGAACTTTTAATTTTAAAACTCAATTTGATTAGGGGAAAGAGAAGAGAAAGGAATAATATCTCTACATTTTTTAAGGTGACCATTTTTCTTATTCTAATCACCGCCACAATTGACAATATTTCTTTCTACATGGGTTTTCCTTTGTATGGCATTGCTCAAAGAAAATCTTTGCGTGTTTAATAAACTTTTTAATCTTGCAGAGAACTTCTGGATTCAATGCAAGCTGGAACGTTGGAACCAGAAGTAGCTTTTCTCAATGCATCACTTGTAGGGTTTTGTTTTGCCCCACCTCAAATATTTTGTTCAAAATCTTTGTTTTATTATTTTTGTTTCCTCTCTGCTGAGCTGATCTTTGTAATATTACTTCTATCAACAATTGAGACAGATCCCAGATGTTTTCCCTGTTCTAGCAGCCTCACATAAAACAATTCTCTCCAAGTCACGGGAGTCGTTGAAAACACGCACTCTTCATTCTGAGCTTGTTTACAATTACTCAGGCTCTAAGCATGTAACTAATCCTTTTGATTCAATTATTGTGGTTCATTTTTATATTCTTCTGTTGTTCAGAGTGGATTTACTTTTAGGCTTCACTTCTTGCAGATTACCGAATCCTTGAAAAGGTTTGGAATCTCTGAAAGCTCAACTTATATCCTCGTGGCTCGTTTGGGTGCTTCTATCGATGAGGTGAGTAGGTTTCATCATCCATTGTTTTGATTTAGCTAATTACATAAAGTTGTTGATATCTGTTGTGAAGAGTTAAAATTTTATATTACTGCATGAAGGCTGTATATAAACTTATCAATGGTAAGGAGACTGATTTAGAGGAATTGGAAGGAAGAGCAGATCAAGCACAGATTCAAAAGGTTCGTTATTCTTGGTCCAAGTTCTTCTGAAGCAAGTGACTCTTCTTTCTTTTGTGGTTCTCTTACTGATAAAATGCGGTTTCACTTCTTCAGCTCTACAAAATATCGAGCCTGGAATTAGGGATATCCTCCCTCGCTGATGCAATTACGTGCCGAATTGCCTCCCGTGATGCCTTATGAGGAGTAAAGAGACTGTTTATATTTGCTCTTTGTATTCTTCCCATGTTCCATTATGTCAATCATTTGAGTGATATTTGTATCCCTCACCAAATAGTCTGATCATACTTTGCTTGCCTTAATGCATGGGAATGCATGGAAGTGCATGTTGAAAGTGGATATATGTTACTGTTCCTCTATTAAGTTCTGGTTTCATTCTTGTTTGATAATATATAATGTCATTAGGCTTTATTTTCAACTTGCGATGTTTGTTAATGCTGAATTGTTTTGCTGGATGCTTTATCAATCACCAGCATAGGCCATCAGTGCTCACCAATCAGCATTGGTGGATGCTTTATCAATCACCAGCATAGGCCATCAGTGCTCACCAATCAGCAATCGTAATTTTGCCAGCGACTGTTGTCAGACTTGCGGGGTTCAAATTATTACATGGGGCTACACACATTTGCTTTTTCTAATTGTTATTGATTGAGAGACCGTCTAGAAATTCAACTGACTATATACTATATATACCATTAAGGATTCAGGGGACCCGGAATGTTAGACTAAAGATGCATATGAATAATGAGATTCAACTGTATAATTTGAAATTTATGTAGATGTGAAAGAAACAAAAAAAAAAAAAAAAAATAGGAGCAATCCAGATTTTCATGAATCCAAAACCAGCTGATGCAACCGTCCCTCCCGATCATGTTAAATCTATTCACAAATTCCAAGATGTCAACCACATGATACAAGTTCACACAAGGAAACGTCTGAAAACCACATTATTTTAAACCTACCTCAATGCCATCATAGGACCATGAAAGGGGGTTGGGAGATACAAGGGAACACAACATCCACTATAAACCTAAAACAAATCAAACAATCAACATCTATACCGTAAAATTAAACAAACAATTAACATCTATAACGTAAAATAAAACAAACAGTCTAAATACAGGTGCTTGAGGAGCCCACGTTCAAAGTAGGAGCTATCCTGCATACACACAAGTCACCGCTTGCCTGACATGCTGAAAGAAGTAACTTTCATAGGGGTCGCCACAACCAACGGAGCTTCTGGAGAGTCGCTAACAGCATACTTGTCGTGCATGAACCGACTCTCAACAATGGATTCATCCTTCAAAACAATCTTATAACAATAGCAGCTCTTAAGACCTTGTTGATTCTGGTAGCAGTTGTGACCACTGTTCTTCACCTGCTGAAAGTTCCATATGACGCTGAACTTGCCCACTGTTGCAACTAGGTGCCGCTCTTGTTTCCCACTCTCAGTGACCTGAAAAGACAAAATAATTGTCAAACAAATCTGTCAGTTCAATTACTCAAAGTCCAGAATATGTCTACCAAAATAAAAAAAATAAAAATATGAGCACCCACTCTAACAAGCAAGCCAACCAATCCCTTACTCATAAAGGCATTTGACACCCTACAAACTAAAAATGGCAAGGACAGAAGCACACAACAGCACAAAATCTTTTTATGTGCATATGGGTGGGGTGGGTTCCAGATGAAAATTTAATTTGTATTCTATTTACCAATACTTTCACATTTTACCATGAAAATTTAGATGCAAACCAAATATATATATAATTGATTGTTGAGGCTTCAGGTCAGGTTGCCTTTTGGCCTCAATTTTTTTCCCTTACAGAGGAAAATCATCTACCACCTTTGTAAGATTCTAAAGTCAAACTCTTTCTAATCCTTTATTTAATTTTTCATTTCTTTGCACACTTTTTGCCCCTAATAAACTCTTCAACCCTAGGACCCTACCTCATAACACAACCTTTCAAGCACCATAATCTTCCTTAATTAAGATCAGGAAAAATAAACAAATCCAATCCACAACTATATGAAACCATAGCTACTCTAACCTTTATAGTCAAAAGTTTGTACAGCACAACCAATCATTAGAAATCATAAAGCATAAAAAAATGAGTTGATTAGTTGAAAGCCAAAATATCACAAAAACAACTTGAAACACCTCATATCCAAGGAGAATTTTCCCCATACAAACCACCATAGAAGTCACTAGAAGAAACAATCAAATAGACAAAGTTTACCGAGGAATGTAGCCTAGTAGTATCTCCTCTACCTTTCAAAGTGGAAGGTTGAGGGTTCAAAAAAAATACAACTAGACAGTTTTAAAACACTCGGGGGACAAACAAAAAAAAAAAAAAAAAGTAGGGAACTTGTTCGTGACGATCAAGGGCATGCTGATGTTACATTAAATTTTTCAGAGGTGGCTCACTCTCATGGAGGATACTTTTATTGGCACTTATTAATTCCTGAGAATAAGTAAGAATTGTGAAAGACAATTACAAACTGCAACACGGATAAAATTATCATAGACAACTCATAACTAAAGTAACCAAGGGTGTGGTAATCTCGCGTTAATTTTTCAGAAGTAGCTCACATTCGTGAATGAGCACTCAACTTTCAGTCACCTACACATCTAGGTTTCATGTCAAGAAGTCCTGTGGATGGGGCATCATGTTCATTAACAAGAACTGGTTCACCAGTTCTCATTCTCCAAAATGATAAGGGAAACAACTACTTAATGTGAGGGCTAGATATGCTAACAACGGCAAAGTTCCGACACAGTGGCCTAAATTTTTGCATTGCAGAAAAATCAAGATACATCTCAAGCTACTTATTTGTCTACTTTCACAAGCCAGTGAAAAATAATTGATGAACATTAGCATGCCTTCCACTTTTTAAGCGTAAAAGAACGTAACTTGTATTAAACAGAGGCACATCTATTCATATTCAAAGAGATATAAAGAAGTAAATCATATCCATATATTCAATAGGACAATTATCTGTATGCTACTAATATCCCAAAGTAGTCATGGTCAAGAAGATGATCAAAATAATGGGGAACTTAATGTGTGTGTGTGTGTGTGTGTGTGTGTGTGTGCATGTATGATGACCCGTCATATGAGGTGCATATATTATAAAGATAGCTGAAATCAAAATGCACTAAGAGCAATAAACTAAAAAAAACAATTAACACATAGAAACTGCACATAAAATCAACTGGAATCTTACAGGAAAAAAAAAAAAAAGACAGAGAGAAGAGATCAACGGATGGAAAAGAATGGATAAAGCAAAATGTAAATATGAATAAATAGCTTACCCATGAGAATTGGCCATTGTGCAACCTATTGTCTGCCCCAGCCATATGTGAATCCACAGGAGTCAGCTTCAACAATCGTGGAGCTGGGATTTTGTTCCCCATTCGACCACTAAATCCAGTCTTCGTCCTCCCATCTTTGTCAGTGAACAGGGTACAGATAAGGATCAAATATGTATCAGTTGTCCCCAGTATCCACTTCCCATCATATGTAACATCGACATGAGTAATAGGTGAACCAAGACCCGGAAATGCAGTCTTTGCCTGCCTCATAGAAGTCTTTGAGTATAAACGTATCTTTCCATCAAGAGACCCAACAACAATTGAACCATCACCCGTCGTTGCAAAGCACTGGAAATTTGTACCTCTTGAGAATTGATGACCTTGTGTCCAATTCAGAACTGGCGAATTTGCATCTGCAATATTCTGAACCATCCCTTTCCTTTCACGCATATCCCACTGGCACAACCTATTATCATCCAGCCCCAAAAATGTAGACTCCGAATGATCTAACTGTGATCCCTTTGTATCGTTTGTGATATCTCTCATTGTAACATCAGTTCCATCTTTCTCAAACTTCCATTGAGTAACAATCTTCCCTGTCTCAATATCCAATTGATGAAGCCCTGTTGAATGGGGCTTCCCATCCTTCAGTGGACTCATAAGGAGCATATTAGTTTCACCTCTCATCAAAAGGGCCTTCTTTGGCGTCGAATGTCCCAAGCTTGAACTACCCTTAGAACCACCACTATCAAACTTAACATACACACCTTTTCCATGTATTCCATGGCTAAAATTCTTCACAACCTGCACACCCGATTGGTTCACCAAGAAACTGTTATCCAAAGCCCCTAATGCCAAGCTCTGTATTCCACCCCCGGTTGAAGCCTCTTCAAACTCCTCCAACAAATCCTGATTCCCCCTCACCGGGGTCTTCGTAGGACTCTTCCACTCGCCGGCATCTACGTCCTCCCACATCGTATCGTCGGCGGCCTCTGGCTTCGCCCACCCAAGAAAATCCTTCCCATAAACCTTAACCTTGCTCTCTTCCGTTGCTTTCAATCCATACACATTTTCAAATAAACAATCCTGAAACTTCGTCACAAAACTCCGATACTCATCGTCAGCGAAGAACTTCAGCGCCCACACCCCACCCGACACAAAATCTACCCGTCGCTGATCCCCAAACATCTTCAATTGCAAATCCGTCGAAACCCTGGCTCGAATTTTCGACCCCACCTTCAAAACCCAGAAACACGATTCGTCCTCCAAATCGTCATCATCGTCGTCATCCACACCGTCGATTCTGGAACTCTTTATGAACTTATGAGATGTGAGTTTCTCAGAAACGACCCATTTGGCTTTGGGAGTGTTGCCACCTATGTGAAGGTAAAGCTTGACCGCATTCTTGAAATTAGGGCTCTGAGAAGGGTACTTGAGTTTTAGAGCTTTGAGCTTGGAGTCGAGCTCGTCTAGGGTTTTGGTTCCTGAAGAGCTCTGTGGCTTTTGTGGTAGTGGTTGTTGTTCTTGTTCCTCTGCGTCGTCGTATTGGTCTTCGCTGTCGTCTTCGTAGTCTGATGAATCTGACAGGCTTAATCCTTCTCGACTCTGTGAGGCCCCCATTGCTGACGAATATGAGAGCTTGTTTGGTTCGCAAAGATTGGAAATTGAGAATTATACCGTTCGAGAAAATTCTGGAGTTCTGTGATCAGAGATGAAGAGAAATATGGGATATTAAACTAGGGTTTCTTTTATAGGAGAGATGTGAGAGGGTGAGGTTTGCTTACCGGTTATTGCCAGTAAGCGTTGATCTGACGCGCGTTTTCTTTGCTTCGTATGGAAGTCAAATGACAATTTTGGGCCACACGCTAAGAACACTCCTTTTATTCTTTATTTATTTTTATTTTAATAGAGATAAAGATAATTAGTATATCAACAAAAGAAAAAGGCGATTGGGCGAAGTGAGAGACCAAGTTCTCCAAAAGAAAAGGTTTTTGCTCTTCTTCTTTTATAGTTTTTTTAAGAGTGGTCTATCTTTATTTAGTTTTAGGTTAGTTATTAGCTCAACTATTTTATATGATGTAGTGGCGGACAAAAAAATATAAAATTTAAATTTAAAAATAAAGAATTTATTCAACACAAATGAGGAGATTAAGATGAACGATATAAGTGACTAAAAAATAATAATAGTATAAACAAAATGTGAGAAAGAAATTATGTATAGTATTTATTAGCGACAAGATCAAAGTGTATAAACTTAGGTGGTTTGAGCCGTTGAATAAGAATAATTTGAATAGAGTAGGAGGGAAAGGGAGGATTCGAAATTAATATAAAATGAAATTATTGAAAATAACTTTAAAAAATTAAATATTATAAAGATATGACTTGAAAATAAAAGAATAAAAAAATAGAATTTATGTGAAGACTCTATTAATATGGGATTAAAGTAAGAATAATGATATTATTTTTTTATTTACATTTTGTTGTGAAAAAATACATATCCGTACATCATCTAACCGACCATTTTGCCCTCAAGGAAAATTATGGATAAATTTTACTTACTACTCTTGAGGTTTGTCAATATTTCACATAGATTCCTCTATATTTCATAATCCCACTTACTCTCTTATAGTGTGTTATTTTATCATTTTGCTCATCAAATGTTTGTTGTTATTTTAGGCATTGGTGATTGACCGGGGAGGTGAGTGCTTAAAGGCAATATAAATAAAATTATAAAACGTAGAAGGAATCAATGTGAAATATTAACGAACCTCAAAGAAAAATAAATAAAATTTATTAATCCCTAATAATTTATCTCGTGGGACTTCAACCTCAACCTTCTTTTATTTGGGTTAAGTAGTTTTAACATTATAATGCCATCATTTCTACTTCGTCGCATAATATAAAGTCACTATGCATCAGGTTTTTTTAATTTAAAGATTAATCGAATTAAAATTATATTATTTTATAAATGGTTAAATGTAAAGAAAGAAAAAATTATAATATACAAAATGTGCAAATCCTTCAGGCTGTTAGGGTTCACAACAACGATTTTCTCTCCTTTCTCTATCTCCCCTCTCTGTTAGGGTTTCTGAGCTCCGCCTTCCCTATTTTCCATCCGAGAGTATGGTTTTGACGGAGATTCTCACTCAGAGTGTGTGGTTTCGATGGCGATTCTCACTCATCCACATCAGGTTTCAGCGATATAGTGATTCCATAGTTTCAGAGGGAAAGGGAGGTTTTGTGAGAGACGTTAAACTGAGTTTCAACATGCTCCTCGCTACGTCGAGGTCCTCTGTTCATCAGAGTTTGGAGATGTCTCTAAGAAGGTGTGATTTTTATGCGACGGTTTCCCTCTCTTGTCCAGTCCGTAGACCTTGTCGATTGCCTGGCTGGAAGGGCACATGCGATAGGAGGCTTGTAAACTTGGGGTTTTTGCGCCTTGGAGGAATAGATACCCAATTTATGTCGAGCTTTCCTTTTGATTTGGGTATTGCTCTCCTCTCTTGTATTTCTTATTTTATTCTAATGTTTGTTCTGATTTGCAGTTTTATTGCTGTCCCGTTGGATGGTGATCGACTCAAGGATATCCAATGTTCTAATATGATGGCTATGGGTGGAGGTTTCCAGCAGCAAGCCTGTTTGTTGCTTTTTGTACAGAGCTCTATGGTTTGGCGGTAAGGGTTTAGAGCTTTGTCTGTAGTTGTCTAGATTATGGAGTCGCCGTTGGGTGATGAGGATGATAGTGATCTCCCAGTTGTAGGATGCCTCTGATCGAGTTTTTTACCTTCAGACGTTCTTGGGTTGGTCGGAGGGGGTTCACTGGTTTACGACACGTTGCGTGGGTGGCTTTGCTATTGTCGATGCGTCTCTTGCACCGGTAGACAATGGGCATGTGCGGATTTACATTATGTTTCTGGCCCACCACTTTGACTTCTTTTTAGGGCAGGCAAAACCTATAAGCTTAGTTTACAAAGTTTTTTTCTGTGTGGTTCTCCTTGAATGTCATTTGCTCTGATGTACTTCAATATCTTGCCCTTCTTAAGTTGTTTTGATGCTAACACTCCCATTTTCTCTGATATCTGATACCCTTTAAAGCTTAAGGTTTTTGTTAATCTTATTGGATATTAATCTTGTTGTGGGAGGTTTTATATCTCATGTATCAGTGGTTCCTTGATCTTGCCGTATGGCATTTCTTTGCCAGGTTAAAATAAATAATAATAAATAAATAAATTCCTTCAAGCTGTTAAAAAAAATCCTTACATTTTTCTAATTTAAGTAAATAAAGTAATTTGGTCAAAATTGAACAATGAAATGACTAAACCGCCTTAATATAATATATATAAAAGAATAGATAAAATACAGTTTTCTTGGGATGATAAAGTTTGTCCATTTTTGTTGGACAAAAATAACATCATTAATAACTGTGGGCATATATGTAATTTCAAAACCCATTCCACCTTTCATATTCTTCTACAGTCATGTTTACAGAGGTAGCGGCGGAACGACAACTACCACCACAACCTCCACCATCCAATCCCCATAACCGTCACCACTATCTCCACCCCACAACCCAAGCGGCGCCACTAGGACTATCTCCGCCGCCGCCACCACCACCATCCTTAACCCTACCCCACCACCACCACCACCACCATCTCCAGACCACCACAATGCATATTCCGGATAATGAATCACCATCACTACAATCATCCTCAACCCCATCCACAACTATCCCCACCAGTATAATTGCCATCACCACTATGTTTATTCCGGCCAATGAACCCTGTAGTCTACAGTTAAATCCCCATTGCACGGTGGCGCCGATCTATGGAGTTGACTCATCAGTCATCACGTAATCTAACAGACATATACAACTCCTCATCTGTATTCGCCACCAACCCCTCATGTCTCTTGCATCGTAACCCTCCAATTGGCGCGATTTGCTGTGGAATTGAGGAAACTATTCACGCAATTAATCAAATCCATTACTAAATTCTTAGGTGTTGTTTTCGGTTAATCAAACCCATTACGCGAATAATCAAACCCATTATGTATATGTGTTGAGATTTTATCTCTTGTAGTGCAGCTGTACGATTGAATTATTTGCTCCTTGATTTAGGGTTAATTGGTAGGTAATTAGTTACCTATTTTAGCTAATCATATTCCATAAAATTGGATGTAATACTCATCGAATAAATGATCGAATAGAGTTTTTAATGCTCATATTATTTCTCTGAATTTCAAGATGGTATCAGAGCCATCATTGAACCGTAACTTTGAATCCCTTTGAATTTTTTTTTTTTTTTTTAAGTTCACATACCCATACACAGACCCATACACATACAGACCCATACCCAAACCAAAAATTACCAACCCTGAAATTCACCAATCTTCATCACAAGCCGCAGCCACTGCCATCACAAGTCTTAGTTGTCGCCGGACCAATCTCCATCACAAGCTGCAGCCACTGCCATCACAAGTCGCTGCCGTCACAAGCCACAGCCGTAACCAAACCGCTGCACCTCGACGGATCTGTGTTGCATCACCGGTTCTTCGCCAAACCAAACTGCTGCCTGTCGACAACGAACCACTGCACTTCGCCAAATCATCTTCGTGGCCGGATTTTCTTCACTGACAGTCGCCGCCAGATCTGCAGCCCTTGACTACCAAACCGTTGTCCATATCGTCGCTAAATCCATCTCAGATCGCTGGCCGCTCTGCCGAACCGAACCAGCCGCCGTCTCAATCATCGCTGTCGGATCTATCGTCGCAATCGTACAAGGAGGAGAACCTCCAGCTGCTCTCTCATCCTTTGAATATATTTTGTTATATATATATATATATATATACATATATATTATAAATATATAATATTTCAAAAAAAACAAAATTCAAAACCCTCTGTTTGGCCACAAGTGTACTCCTATTCCAATTCTGGATTAGACTAAACCAGTTTTTGTAACCTCATTTGAAAACTGGTTCTATGATAAACCAGTTCCAAAAAAAAAAAAAAAAAAAAATTGAGTGAAAAAAATATTTAATCATCTAGAGCAGACAAGTCTACCTACAAATGCACTCATTGCAACCAGACTGGTCATACCAAAAGTCGTTGTTTCAAACTTGTGGGATATCCGAAATGGTGGGATCTTCGCCGTTGGAAGAAGAATTCAACAAAGACCTCCACTGCAGCAGTTGTTAAGACAACAGATATTGGTGGTAAGAATTTCAATATTTCTACACATGTTGCTAATAGTGCATGGATAATTGATTATGGTGCAATAGATCATATGACATTTGATTCTAGACAGGTCTCACCTCTTACTTCATCCTCACACAAATTTATTTCTACTGCCAACGGGACTTCGACCCCAGTTATTGGGGAAGGATCTTTAACACTCACTGATAATCTGCATTTAGATTCTGTTTTAGTTTTTCCATCTTTAGATTCTAATCTTTTGTCAGTTTCCCAAATAACCACAACTTTATCTTGTGTTGTCATTTTTTGGCCTGATTTTTGTGTGTTTAAGGACATCCAAACAAAGCAGACGATTGGCTTTGGTATTCGGGGAGGGAAACTGTATTACTTGGACTTGATGTCTAAAAGTTACGACAAGCTACGACAAGCATTGACAGTGGATGATTCTGAGGGGGAGAGAAAAAAATCTGAAATTTAGCTATGGCATCGACGTCTAGGGTAAGCTTCCTTTGGCTATCTGAAAAAATTATTTCCTAGTTTGTTTGCAAAATGTGATGTTTCTAGTTTTCGCTGTGATGTTTGTGAACTAGCAAAGAGCCAT